ATGTAAATACACACTTATTATATATTTATATATAATATATATAATTTATTTATGTATATTTCTTTCAAGTTTCATATACTATATTTTCCTGTATTCCATTCTTTCGGTTTATGTGCTACCTAACCCTATTTTCAATTAGATAGATTTTTCAACTAGTTTATTATTCTATACATAATATACACACAATTATTTGAGTATTTGACAAACACTATTTACGTTTACACCTTATATTGGCCAAGTGATTCCTTTCATTACCATTCATTGACTTCAATTCAATCATTTTTCGTGAATTGGAATTATATTCTTCTTTCGCCGCATTCATTCTTCGCTCCCATTATATTCCAATCATCCCCACTACCACATGTTGCAGCTGGTCAACGGCTCCATTTTGGAGACCTATTCATCTGTCTTCATATTCACAATTCAAAACCTTCTTAAGTGGAGATCATAAGACCAAGCAGGCACACAACTTGGAAGCTGTTACAAGTTACAACCAAAAATTCAATAAGTTCTATTATTATATAAGGCATTCAAAGAATCATACATCTTTTAAACATGTACAACACACAATGGAAAGTTGGTGTAGTGTAATCTAAAAGACTTTTGATTTTCATTCACTATAAGAAATTTCACACAACATAAGTTGTCTCCAAAACTATCGATTTTGGTCACTAATAATATTAATGACCAATTTTTGAAGACGTACGTCACATGTTGTTACTATATCCTCTGTCACTATTGTAGTAGTGACGACTTTTAAAAAATTGTCACAATTATACAAGATCATATGAGAACATGTGTTTTGGTGAGAACATGAAAACACATCATGTGTATCCATTTAATATTTTTTAATGATCTAACTTGGAATGTTAATACCATGACGAGTTGAACAAACCAATCAATGGAATAAATCTATTCTAAGAAATGTTATTCCATTTCTGACCTATTCCATGAACTGTCATAAGTTCAGTGAAATTGTGATCTATTTTTCGGTAAATTGATGAGATATTTATGCACAACTATGAAATCTAGCAGTTATGGATATAGCTATATAGCTTTGGAGTAGAAGCCCACGAGATATTTATGCACAAATATGAAATCTAGCAGTTACGGATATAGCTATATAGCTTTGGAGTAAAGCCAACGGAAGTTAATAATGACAATTTTAGGATTTGTGATAGCTAGAATGCACAAATGAGTAAAGGAGTCCTCGAACATTCTTCACCCTATGAGTGCTCAAGTGATCGACTTCCATCCTTGCGGGGCGTTTGGTTGGAGAGGGTGAATTACGTGAGAAAGAATTGTAATTTTATGAGAGATGAATTACTGGAATTAAAGTGAGAATTTAAATTTCAGTGTTTAGTTTACAGGAATAGAATTACTGGGAATTTCAATTTCAATGTTTGGTATATATAGGAATTGAAAGGTAATAAGTAGTATAAAGTCAAAAATGTCCATTGTTATTGTTAGGCATTAATTTTAAGTTGAAAAAGGAATGGGTAATTCTGACTCATCACTATCTATTTTTTTTTCTAAAATCCCAGGAATTAAAATCTCAGGAGGGGACATGGGATTTTAATTCCATGAAAATGAGGGAATTGCAATTCCTTTCAACCAAATAAGGACATTTTGTAGCCTTTGAAATTAGGTGGGAATTAAGTGGAAAGAGAATTTAAATTCCCTTCAACGAAACGCACTGTTAAGGTAACTGAATGACCTCACAAAATTCAAATAATTTTTCAAATATAACCTTATTGGGTCAACCCCAATAAAACATTAGGGCTGGGCATCCTCATTTGTGGGTTTTTACAAGATTTTGGCTCTGTTTGGTAAACCTAGCTGAAAAGCTATAAGCTCGGAGCTAAGTTGAAAAGGAGCTGAAAGCTGAAAAGCTATAAGCTCGGAGCTGAAAATTGAAGAGCTGTTAAGCTAGCTGTTATGAAAGTGTTTGGTAAAATTAGCTTTTTGATAAGCTGATAAATGTAAAAAGACTAAAAAGGACATCTTCATAAAATTTAAATTAGTTTGTTTACATATTAAAATTTAACATTTTGAAATAAAACTATTAGCATAATCATGATCTTGCATCTCATAATGAAGTAGCAATATTGTTGCAAATCTCATAATAATTAATAATAATAATAATAATAATAATAATAATAATAATAATAATAATAATAATAATAATATTTATAATAATAATAATAACAATAATAATAATAATATTTGCGGTGAAAGGTAAAAGTTGCGGATAAAGGAGAAGGGAAAAGGGTTTTAATTGAGAAGGGTAAATTATGTCATTTCTTTAAAATAATAAGGATAAAGATGAAAAAAAAAAAAAAAAAAAGTTAAGAAGCTAGAGCTTATTTTGAAACGCTACCTAAGATAGCGTTCCAAAATAAGCTCTTATTTTAAGCTAGGAGTTTATTTTGAGAACATTACCAAACAGAGCTATAAGTTTATTAGTAGCTTAAAATAAGCTCTGCCAAATAGAGCCTTTGAAATAGTAAAAGTCCAAGCTCAAGTTTTTGAAAAGTGGGAGCCAAAGCTTTTCATGAGCTTTTTCTCCTGCAATACCTCAAGATTTTGCAGGAGATTTTTTTTTTTTTAAAAAAAAAACGCAAATGACGCGCTTGGAGCGCACCTCGCACCCCAGAGGGCACGTGTTTCCCATGCGCCCTTGGGGCGCTTCAAGGTGGCCGCCAATTTTGTTAGTTTTTTTTTTTTTTTTTTTTTTTTTTTTTTTTTTTTTTCTTTTGCTTTTCCTTTTATTTGTTTATCTCCTCCCCATTTTTTCTTTCCTAATCACACCTACAAAAATTTCTCAAAAACTACATCAAAATTCCCACTATTGAGGATGCCCTTATGTATAATCCTTTATCTATTGTCTTCATTCAATTCCATCGAGATAATACGTATTTGCTATGTATAATTCATCTTACTTAGTTCATTCATTCCTGCATGGTTTCACTATTCAATTTTTTTTTTTTTTTTTTTTAATTATTGTGGATGAAAAATTGGTTAGGTGCTTGGGTGTTCAATGGTGATTAATCGACGTTGATGTAATTTTTATTTTATTTTTATTTTTTTTAAATTTTTAATTTTTTAAGAATTGATAAATTATAAATTATTTAATACTTTAATAAATAGTTGATACTAAAATATTAATTTAAAAAACATCTAGAGTTTGAACAATTTAAGATTATTTCACTCAAAACGATATCATTTTGAGTAAAATAACTTTTTAAAAAAACAATAGCTAATTGACCGACTAGGCGGTCTAGTGGTGCTAGGCGGTTAGCGCCTAGTCAGCTGGCCGCCTAGATTACAATTATGGCAATACGCCAGGCAGACAATCAGTGCCCAAGGCCTAGACACTGATTAGATGGGGTTTTTCTCAACACTGATAATTATAAAGCTAACATGTCAGATCAGGTTAATAGATAATAGCCATGATTATCCCATAAAATCCGAAACAATATAGAATAAGTAGTCATTCAAAATATGATGATTATTTTAGTCGGCATTGTGGTATCACAAAATGGCATAGTGTTTATGTATGTGGCTCCAAAACCACCGACTATTATTAGCTGTATCATGATTCTAATCGGGAATTCGGGATATAATAAGCACTATTAAACCAGGCAAGAACATGTGTTATACCATGCTTCTAAAAGAATGCCAGTTCATTAACATGATGTTTTTATTAGCATTTTTTAAGCAAATATCTAGGATATTTGTTAGCTAAATTTTTTGTCCTAAAATTAAAATTTTTGTAAGATCTATTGATTGAGAAAATATGAAAAAGCTGTTGCGCAACTTGTACGTGTACTGCACGGCCATGTTAGGCACATAAATTTATTATTTTTTTAAATACTTCTTTTTATTTTTTCTTGTTCGACTTTTGTTTCCTCCTTTTTCCTCTTCATTCTCCCCCCTTTCCTACATGACACCAAAAAAACCACCAAAAATATTTCATAGTTAAGGTTGCTCTAAGTTTATGCAAAATACTCGTATAGTGATACACATTGATATATACAATTAGGCGAATATGGATATAAAATAAAATGTAATTTTAGTTCCTTAATTATGTTCTGCTAATTGTTTGAGTCACTGTGTTTATAAGTTATGAAATGCACCCCTATCTTTGCAACAAAATCATAACTTTAGCCCCTACAACAGTCTGTCTGTCAAGCTGTGTCTGATTTTGAATAAAGAAGATATGTTTGAATTTATTAAAAAACCAATCAATAATTCAAAACCTTCTTACTTTACTATAGGGACAAAAACTGTAACTTTATTAAAAGATTATGGTATATTTGTTCAAGTAACAAAGGTTGTTGGAAGTACATATAATGATATATAAACAATCTCTGTATCTAAAAGCATCATCAATAAAAGTATTTTCAGAATAAAAAAATTGTGATAATATTTTCTTAAATTTGTTCTCTTAAAATAAAAATTTTTGTGAGACTCATTAATTGAGAGAAATGGGAGAAACTGCTGCGCAACTTGTGCGTGTATAGAACTGCCGCACCCAGCATGGCACCTGCACTGTACACGCCATGTTGGGCACGTTAAGTTATTACTTTTAAATTTTTCTTTTACTTGTCAGAATTTTGTTCTTTTTTTATTTTTTCTCATTTTTCCTCTTCTCTCTTCCTCCTATCCTACATGACACTGCAAAAATCACCAAAAATTATCCATTGTTGAGGTTACTCTAAATTTATGCAAAATGCTTGTACAGTGGTACACAGTGATACACACAATTGGACAAATATAAATATAAGGAAATATGTAATTTTTAGTTCCTCAATTATGTCCCGCAAATTGTTCGAGTCATTGTGTTTATAAGTTATGAAATGCACCCCTATCTTTGCAATAAAATCATAATTTTAGCCCCTAAAACAAACTGCCTGTCAAGCTCTGTCTGATTTTGAAATAAAGAAGATATGTTTGAATTTATTAAAAACCCAATCAATAATTCAAAACCTTCATAATTGGGACAAAAACAGTAACTTTGTTGTAAAGATTATGGTAACAAAGGTTGTTGGAAGTACATATAAACAATCTCTGTATCTATCAGCTCTTGAGGCCTAATGGTTGCAACAGTCTAGTGATAAAGCTAAATTTGGTTACAACTTACAACCCAGAAAACAGCCTAATAAGCTTCCAAAAAAAAAACTGCATTCATATGCACACACAAACACAAACAGTGTATGATACACAGCAAGAAGATTATGCATATATGCAGGCAGATCACTATCCCATATATTTCTCCCTTCCAAAGCCTTCCCTCGTCGGGTTATGCTCTTTCGTGTAGACGCGGTGCCGCCTCTCTCTTCCATAGATGACCCAGAAAGTGAGAGAGAACATGACTGCAACAGCCACAATTACCAGTCCAATGTAAACCCACTGGCTGTAGCGCCGCAAGCCAGGGCAGTGCGTTGTGTATATTTTGTTGAAAGTAACTCTGACGAAATCGCAGTCTTGCAGATCGACCAGGAACTGGCCGTAATGGTACAGCCCGAAGCTCACGTTCACGGCGGCAGCCATTTGGCCGTAGATTTTCGGAGTCAGACGCCCTGTTGTTATGCATATGTCGCTAGGCGAGACTTGGCATACACTGGATCTCCACACCTGCATTTTGTAAAAATAATCACGTTTTCTGGCATTTCTGCACTAAGAAGTAAGAAGATGAAGGAATGACAAAACTATGGAATTAAACACAAGCAAGGCCAAGACTATGTTGCCTAATGGTACCCGGGTTGGACTTCCATTTGGAAAGTTGTGAGTTCGAGCCTCAGTGGATGTGTTACTGGTTACTGGTTCTTTGTGTTGGTTACTGGTTCTTTGTGTTTCAGTAGGTTGAGAAAGCATATGAACAGATACTACATTCTAATAGAGCTAGTAACATTCAAAAAAACACAAGCAAGGCCATTGTATATTTCACGGAAAATAGTCAAATACACCCCTAACCTTTATACGAGAACTCAATTAGGCATGCATTAAAACCCAAAACTGGATAGTGACCTGTAATAGCAGGTCGCTAGGGGTTCCGGCAACCTCCGGAGGGAAACCGACAACCGGTGAGAGGGGTTCCGGCAACCTCCGGAGGGAAACCGACAACCGGTGAGTCCGGTGACCAACGAACAGTTGCCGGTCTCCTTCTTTGAAGGAGGTCACCTTCCCCGCCGCCTTCTCAACGGAAAAGGCAACCAACAGAAAAGGCGACCAGTGGTTGCCTTCTCAGTGGAAAAGGCGACCACTGATCGCCAGTCGAAGGCGAGACGACCGATGACCGTTTGTTGGTCGCAGGTCACTAATTTTCTCCCGGAGGTTGCCAGAAATCGCCGGAACCCTAGCGACCTGTTATTACAGGTCACTATCCGATTTTTGGACTTCGATCACTAAATTGACATGTTGATGTGCTTAATTGAAACCTTTAAAAGTTTGAGGCCTAATTGACTTCTTCTATAAAATTTAGGGGAAGTATTTGACCCTTTTCCCTATATTTCAAACTTATCCACAATTGGGAATAGCTATGAAATTTATATTATGTAGTCAGTACCTTTGTTGCATTTCTCAAGTGAGCTTCTCCGGGATTGCATGCTCGATCAGTCAAGTCAGCATTGTAGGGATTGCAAAGTACCGGCAGCAGAGGACCGGATTGATTGTAGTAATAAACACCGGCGTTTGGAGGGAAGTTATTGTTAGATACAGTGGTGATAACCTGGTTCACAACATCAGCGAGTTGGCGTGTGACTTCTTTGCTTTTCTTCAAAGTCTCTTGTGCAGTCGCGTTGTCGACACATGGCAGAATGTCATCTAAAGCCGTGTGAGAAGTTGGGTGTTGGACCCACTGATTCATTGCCACACAAGAATCTCCAGTCACGCTGAATGTCATACAAATCAATCAAATTATCAGCAGATCAGAGATGTGATAAATAGCAGCAAAGCCTTCTATAGAGCAAGAAAAAGAGACTTAAATAAGTACCGTACCAATGCAAAAGGCAGAATAGTATTTAGTCCCATATGATGGATGAGTTCAAAGTATACAAATAAATATTGAAAAAAATATGTGAATTAATACCTCCAATGGTCCTTCGAGTATTGTGCTATTACCAGCAAACATCCTCCGAGTATCAAAAACTGACCACGCGTAGTCTTCCGTTAGCAAATGTGTGAAAGTGGCATTAAATTAAAGGGTAACCGGAGGGTACCCAACCAAAGTCGTAAATGTAACGCCACTTTCATGCCTTTGCTGACGGAAGACCACATGTGGTCATTTTTTTATACTCGGAAGACATTTGCTGGTCACTTTTTTATACTCGGATGACGTTTGCTGGTCATTTTATACTCAGAGGATGTTTGCTGGTAATAGCACAATACTCGAAGGACCATTGGAGGTATTAACTCAAAAATATGTAGTCGACATTGCTTACTTGTGAAGAAGAAGAAAAATGCCACATAAAATAAAATTCGCTGTTATAAGAATCCATCCAACGACCACCAAGCTGCAAAATAGAACAAGAAAGGCTGGTCTTCAGAGAGAAGTGCAATGAAACTTCACATAAACCACAAAAGGAATATATAGACTGCCCAACTCACATGTACACAAGATATTGCATCCCGAAAATTGAGAACACTGGAGCGTAATAGATTGGACGAAATGAATTAGTCAGTAATATTAAAATGTTTAAAATTCAAGCATTGTCGATAAAATCATCTTACCAAATCCAAGGAATGCCATGAGAAGCATAACGGCAGATAGTACAATAAGAGCCAATCTCCTGCATTAAAAGTTCACACGTTTATTTTTAATTCCCAAAAGGTTGAATCCCCAATCCCAAGGGCCCCCCACACCCCGGCCCGACAGAGCATCTGGGAGGATGTAAATCAAGGTAACTCAGCTGAACACAGAAGCTAGACCTTTGCTTACTGCGCACAAGGAGCCCCCTTATTTTTTGTTCCCAAAAGGTTGAATCCCAGTCAAGGTAACTCAACTGAACACAGAGGCTAGACCTTTGCTTACTGCACACAAGGAGCCCCTTCACTTTGAGAGGTTGCTCCCACACTCCGGCCCGATAGAGCATCTGGAGGATGTAAATCAAAGTAACTCAGCTAAACACAGAGGCTAGACCTTTGTTTACTGCGCACAAGGAGCCCCCCTCACTTTGAGAGGTTGCTCCCACCCTGCCGCTAGTGAGACTTGATCCCGAGTCATTGTTCCCAAACTTCACCCCTGTGACCAACTGAGCTGCCCATGCGGGCCACATGTTTATTTTCTGCCTGAATAGAAAGCAGCATAATGAATCCCAATTAATCTTCACTTACACAGACTCTATCATTTTGTCTATGCCGTCTTTATTCTCTGATGTTTTATCAGCAAGCTGACTAGCAGAAGAGTTGATCTTGGTTAGGATGTGATCGATGTCACCTTTGACATTACCAGGAAGAAGAAATTTATCAACTTCGATGTATTTGGCAGCTGCCAGATACCCCGACACATTCCTGAGACTATCTGCAGTCATATTTGCCTGTTGTTCTACATAGCCTAATGTATTTACCGTACTGCTGTGAAATTTTCCCTGGCCATAATACAGAATAACACACCCAACTCTGAACACACAAGAAACATATATTAGACTAGAATAAAATGATCAAATAAATAATACTCAACATAAAATAAGGTTAATTTTGCTTCTCCCCTGTAATTAAGGATTAGTTTTACTTTGCCCACCCACCTATGCTTATTTTATAGACATTGTTGTCCACCTTGATTAACAATCGAACTTCAATGTCAGTTTTTCCATTCAGACAATATAGTAATTTACAAACTATATCCCTCCGATTCATATCAAAGGTAATTCACTCAATGCACAAATCAACCCCAAGATGGTCCTCCGTTTTCACTTCTTCCCCTTCTCTTTAATTTTCCCTTTTTTGAATGCTACTGACTCTATTACATTGTAGTCTATGTTCAAACATACTCACAAAGTCAACAACGCCTCTACTGAGGCTCGATCTCATGACCTCCCACATGGGAGAGGTCACTACATGCTATCTGAGCACAAAGTGCTTGGCTCCTTTTTTTTTTTTTTATTTAAAAAATAAAATAAAATAAAATAAAAAATAAAAACTTGGGTCTTTATTTGAATGAAGCAGCCAGCTTATTGTACTACAAATGCTGTGTTTATTTGAACAAAACAAACAAATTCTTGAATAGGCTGTCTACGCTTGAGCAGAATAATTAAAACTTAAATTTCACGATTAAGATAGGTGAATAAAGTGAAACTACTCCCTAATTACAGACTGAAAAAGTGAAATTATCTGTATAAAATATTTTTATGTCAAGCCATGGTATGGGCATTATAATGCAGATTTGTAATAGAGAGAGAGAGAGAGAGAGAGAGAGAGAGAGAGAGAGAACGTACATTGCAGCAATAGTAAACAGTATGAGGAGGATGAGAGAGACAGCGTATGCTGTTTGAGAATATCCATAAGGTTCCTTTCGGAAGAAGCAGTAGCAAAGACAAATAAACAATAAACATAGTCCAAAGATTGCAAACCAGAGCAAACCAGCTAAAAAGAATGGAACTGCAGTAAAACCCACAGACTGCAAAAACAAAAAAAATAAAAATAAAGAGCATGAGAGAAAGGTTCGGAGAACAAACAAATGAGTTGAATTAGTTAAAATACTATTATTATTAGCTAAAAGCCTAAAAGTTGAATCCATAACACATTAGAACTAACATGGTTCTTGTGTTAGTTGTTCTGTACTTAATTCCTGTTTGATTATGTATGAATATTACATGTTCCTTATACTTCCTTTTATTTTATTTTGGTGTAAAATAAGCATAATAGCATATCATCGGAGTGCCAGGTTTTGCTGTCATATCCCAAAGGCTTCACCGTTAGTCGCTCAGAGAATAATATATTATGTTACAATTGAGATTTGGATTCGATACCCTGAGCTTATGCACTAAAAAAGCTAGAAAGCTAAGCAGCAGCTTTGTATCATCAATCCATGTGTATACATATGTGTGGGTTTGTATTCACATAAAAGCCAAAGAAAAAAGCATATAATCACTTTGATTTTGAAGAGTCAATTAAAACAATATTCTTTTACTTTACCAAGCATTTATATATTTTTTACTAAAAAGAACATTAGCATTGAAAGCTGCAATTCCTCAAAACCATCAAGAACATAAGTTTCACAAGAGGTTCAGACTTCACACAGATCCAGAAAAAAAGTTTATAAAACCACACCAAAAACAGTAAATAAAATGATTTTTTTTATCATATCAAGAATCTCCCTTTCCCATGTAACTCCAAATCAAGATATCAATATATTATTCAAAATCTAGAACACTCTGTATTAGCTGTTGGTGTATAAAATCTTTTACTTAATTTTTTATTTGGAAGACAGACTCTGGTGACATCAACTGGATTTAACCACACCCCAAATGTTTTCCAACTTAGATATGCCTTTTCACTTCCATAGCCAAGTTCTAAACTTTCATCCCAACCATTTTGCTCCAAATTAGCAAATTAACAAACACACCTAACATGATAATAACAATAACAACAACAACAATCATACAAACACCTATTTGAAGAGGGGGAAAACAATCAAAATATTTAGCCTAATAAGGGTTTGATTCAAATTACCATGAGAAATTTTACACACACACCAAAAAAAAAAAAAAAAAAAAAAAAAAAAAAAAAAAAAAAAAAATTATAGTATCCAAGAAAGATAAAAAGCTTGAGTACTTACAGCCCAGTAGTGCCGATTGCTAATGTTCCATCCTCCTGAATATCTCTCGAAATGATTGAGAGGATCTTTCCTATAAGTCCTTTTAGAAGCCAAGACGAGTGATGAGTTCAATGGGGGCTCACCATTGGGTCCTTCTGCAAGAACCCTTATTCTCTCCCCAAAAATCACACCTTTATCACTATAACTTTCACCTAAAATTTCCAAGAGCAAAATCAACGAAAATAAACGAAAAATATAATTTGTTTCTGGGAAAAAAGTTATGCATACCCTTAATGATCGGTGCGTGGAAATAAGAAAAATGGGATATCTGTCCTGGATTTGCTTCTTCTCCACGAGATAAGAGAAATAAAGAGGAAGATAAGAGGAAGATGGTTAGAAGGGGAAATAGGATTGACCCTTTACACAACATTGTTTCTTCTTGTTTTCTCCTGAACCGTACAATTTAGGAAGATGGGTTGAAAATTTTTTCTCCTGAAAGTTGATCAATGGGATTTCTCTTTGTTCAAAAAGGAAATTTCTTCAACAACTGAATAGAGAAAACATAGCATGGGTCTAAATGTCTAATTGCGGTTTCGCGAACAGACAAAAAGACCATGCCCTCCGGCTACGGAAATGTTTGGTAGGAGAAAGAGAAAGGGCGAGAATGCGAGATGTGTGTGTGTATATATATATATACGTATATGCATATACATATATATACACAGTTACACACGCACAGAAAGCGAGAAAGAGAGAGGGAGGATTTTGCGTGGGGTTGTAAAAATGTGATTTTGTTATTTTATATAGTATACAGAGAAGAATGCAGGTCCGGTGGAAATACCGGAGTTGACGGCGGCACGCGGCGGTGCGAGACGCCGAGAAGTTGATGCCCAAACTGTTTTAGGACAAAATGCGCTCCTTTCGAGTCATATTTCTAACGTAAATAAATAAATAAATAAATAAAATAAATAAATAACCGTACAATTTAGGAGAGAATATGACATTACTATTTTTTTTTTTTAAATCGGTGATTAAAAATATAATAAATTAAAATTAAGGATTAAAAATAAATACATAACCATACTCGATAAAATCATAAATGAGTAATCAAACCTGCATGGGCAGCTCAACTTGTTACAGAGGTAAAAATTTGGAAGAATGACCAGGGATTGAGTCTCATCAACAGTAGTGAGGAGTGTTCCTTCTGCGCAGTGAACACTGGTCTAGCCTTTGTGGTTCATGTTTAGTTGAGTTAACACCGGTCTAGCCTTTATTTTTTCTAGCAACCTCTCAAAGTGAGGAGGGTTCCTTGTGCGCAGTGAGCACCGGTCTAGCCTTTTTATTGTTCCTAGCAACCTCTCTGTTGAGTTAGGAGTGTGAAATAAAATATTGTTCCTATCAACCTCTCAAAGTGAGGAGGGTTCCTTGTGCGCAGTGAACATCGGTTTAGCATTTGTGGTTCATGTTTAGATGAGTTAGGAGTGTGAAATAAAATATTGTTCTTATTTTTATAGATTGGTTGGATCCCTAATACTAAGGCCCCTCATGCCCCGATCTTAGAGCATCTGGGATGATCAATACAATAAGCGCACATAGCACTGTGCACCCCGCGTCTCCCAAAACGACATCGTTTAGTTTCAATACAATAAGCGCACATAACACTATGCACCCCGCGCCTCCCAAAACGACATCGTTTAGTTGACGTGATTATGTGTATTTGTTTATACAATTATATGAAACGACGTCGTTTTGCATCAGGGCGCACAATGCAATGCGCGCTCTGGTGCACGATATAAATTGCCTACAATAAGCCCCCACACTGCGCTGGTGGTGAGATTCAATCTTGGGTCATTATTTTTAAACTTCACCCCGTGACCAACTAAGCTGCTTATGCAGACAATTAATTTCTTTTTTTTGTCCTGAATTTATAAGTCTCAATTTACTTCTAGTCTTTTTTTTTTTTTTTTTTTCATAACATCTTTCATTTGGTCATAGTATTATTATGGTCATGATCCTCTATTAACAAAATAGTTTAAATGACATTAAATACAATGACATTTCTATATTCAATAATGAATTTTTCAAAAAAATAAATAAACATAAAAATATAACGGGTCATCACACTTTGTATTAAAATGATCGAAATGTTCTTGTATTTAACCGCATTTCAACGATTTTGTTGATGGAGGACAATAATACTATGACCAAATATGAATGTTTTCATAAAAATAAATAAATAAACTAAAATTGAACTCTCACCTTTAAATTAGAGTAAAAAATAAAATTAATTCCATTTTTTTTTAATACTACTGACTCTATTACAATGCAGTATCTATTCATAACTCCATTTTTATTATTATTATTATTATTATTATTATTATTATTATTATTATTATTATTATTATTATTATTATATCTAAAATATTTTTATTACCATGTAGCTTGTAGTTGTATAGATGACTAAGTTAGTTGTGCTCAAATGGCACCTCTGTAGTCCCCTTGAGAGAAGGTCTCAAGATTCCCAAAAATTCAAAAATCACCAACTGTGCATTAATTTCCACAATTAAATGTATTAACATTAAAATTTGACTATTAAATTTGAAACAATCATCATAAAAAAGATAAAAAAAAATTAAAGTTTATGGTAAACTTATTTATTAAATAATTTATTCACATATTTGAATTTGAAATTTAAGGGCCCTCACCGTTATTTTTTCAGGAAACGATAAATAGGTAAATCACAAGATGTGTCTCAATTGGCATTTAGACCTTCAAATGCTTATTATTCGTTAGTACCTACACTAATACCAAATTTATTCCTAGTTTTTTTTTTTTTTTCTTTTTATCATTTATTTATAAAAAAAAATGGTGGCTGAGAATGGGAGATAGTCATATGCATAATCAATGTAATGGTTCATTGGTTCAAAGCTATACTAATTTTTTTTTTTTTATTATAAGGAAGGAGATACCCTATATACCCATTACTTGCCTCAAGTGAGATTCAAACTTTTCACTTCCTACTTAAAAGAAGAACCGGATACCAGTGGACCACAAGCCACTTGGTAAGCTTATTATTTAATTCCGGATTAATTATTTAATTAATTCCGTTAAAGAATAGTTAAAAAGGATTTAATTTAGTTAGAATCTCCTTAATTAATTAATGTGGTCCACAATGGACCGTGGACCCTTGTCTATATTAAAGACCTTAACTATTCAGATTCTAATTAAGGATCCTAACTCTATAAATAGGGGATTAGAAAGCAATTAGAACCCTTACCACCCATAATTATATTACACGAAATTATTCCTAAGAGACCGGACGAAGAGATTCCCCACCACCAAGCCTAGGGAGATCAATCGGAGAGAAATCTTAGAAAAGAACCGTAATAGCCAAGTGAGGGTTAATTAAGGCTAAGAGGTAACACATGTCTTACAAAACCTATTTTTCTTGCTATATCTTGATTATTGGCTCCTTTGATAATCGTATGTGTGATTCTGTGATTGAGTCTTGATAGAGCCTTGCCTAGGATTTATATTGTGTTTATTTGATAATCTTGGTGATCTTGATATTGTGATTGATTATATGTATAATCTTGCATTTAATTATGTTTAGAGCTTGTCCCTAGGGTTTATATCGTGAATCTCATTGTTGTGATGTTCTTGGTACATTTGGGTGGGTTTATGCATGATCGGGTGTTAAGTCTAGCCTAGGACTTGTCTTTAGGGCTTTGCATATAAATTTCTTGGTATTCTTGTGGTTCCGGATGCTTCTGAACCGTTAAGTGATTAATGTCGAGTCTTGGCATGTTTAGGAATCGTGTTAGAAAGTAATTGGAATGATTCTTGGTTTAATCTTTGTTAATTGAATCCGTGATGTTGTTGTTACGTGTTGGAATGTGTTTGGACATGGTTCTGAGTTCCACGAACGAACCCCGAGTTAGATTTCTACCATAGTACCAGTGGAGGGACGAATCCCCACCACCTACCCGCTGCCCATGCTGCCCAGTTCCAGCGGGCAGACGACTGCCCGCTGGGCACTCACTGGAATAGTAGCACCGCCGGCGGGTGGTCCACCACCCACCGCCCACCCGCTGGAATGACATGGTGTGGCAGGGCGTTTTCCCCGTTTGATGTTTCTCCGTGTCCCGTTGTACCCCGTTTGACGTGTATGAGTCTTGTTTGATGTTTTGATGTATTGGTAGTGGTAGGGAATACCCCGACCGACATAGTGTTACCCCGACCGGTTTGCCTTCGTCCTTTTCTTCTTGTCTTTGCAGGTTACAGGTCGGGTTTTCCTGTGAAGAACCCGGTCGGGATCCGACCGGGAGTTACCCGAGTGGCAGTGTCGACCACTGAGTGGTAGCCCTTTAGTGAGAGAGCTGACGAGGGACACGTGGCGGCTCCACGCGTTGACAGGCAGGGCACCCGGGGAAGCGACACGTGGTTGCTACGTGGGAAGCATGCCGGACGGCCGGATTTGTGTCTCCGGCTCCGCGTCTATAAATACCCGCGATAGCGACAGTGTGAGAGACTTTTGGACGATCGATAGGTTGTTATTAGAGATTCCCGACCGCAGTCAGTCGGTACTCAGAGCAACCAGTTAGATTGTACTTAGGGCCTTCACTGTGATCAATAAGAGTTATTTATTTGCTTTAATTGGTCTCGTGTTATTTAATTACCGCATTACGTGGCAATTAGTACTATCATTTTGGTGCCGTCCGTGGGGACCCGTGCAAGAAAGCTAACGTCTTGACGAGCACCCGGTCTCTTAGCAATCATGTATCCGTGGGCATACAACAACTTCGCCGACGATCAAGCGGATGTGGCAAGTTCATCCGACCACCATCCGAGCCAGCAACAAGGTCAGACAATGGACCTTAATCTCAATCTCTCACCACCCCATCTGTCAAATACATACCCGGCCGCCCAACAGCCGGTGAACTACATTCAACCGGGATATCCGACACCCGGTCAGCAATACCAGCAGCAGCAGATGCCATATCCCGGCCAATATCCATACCCGGTCCCACCTCAACCGTACGGGTACTGGCTTGGTCAACCGATGTATTACACACCACCGCTTGGCTACCCACCCTTTACGCTTGCGTACACGGCTCCAGCCGCCGCCCCTCCAATATATCCGACCGCACAGGCAGAGCCGCAGCATCAGCCCACTTCCCGGGCTCGACGCTCGGCTCGTTCGCGGTTGGGGTCGGGGGGGGGGGGGGGGGGGTGCTGATGCGATGGAGGCACCACGGCAGGCCCATCAAGCACCGGAGGTTCCAGCCCGAGCAGAGGACCCCGAAGAAGTTACCCGGGCGGTAGCTTTTGATCGCCTTCGACTGGCGATGCGACAACGCTTGGGACCCCAAGACCCGAGCCGGCAGCCGGAAGACGTACAGATGCAGGAGGCTTCATCCGGGCATAGCGGGTCGTGATCTCACCGTTGGCGACGCGCTCGGGAGTCAGCCCAAGCCGCCCAGACGGCCGAGCTCAACGAAACCCGAGGATTGCTCTACAACCTCCAGGCGGAGTTCGCTCGGTTCAGGAACGAGCACCCTGCGATACCCCCGATCGATCAATCATCTTTGCTGAGGACGCCCTTCACTGCGGAGGTAATGGCTCAGCCATACCCGCTTGACTTGAAGGTCTCCGGGGAGAAAAGCTATGATGGTCGTACGGACCCCGAGGTCCACGTCAACGATTTTTACGGCAACATGATGATGAAGGGCGTATCAGACGCCGTGATGTGCAGGGCTTTCTATTCCACGCTCACCGCTCGGGCGGCGGAATGGTTCCGAACTTTGCAGCCGGGCTCAATTGCTGATTTTAACGCCCTGGCGATCAAGTTCGTGAGGAAGTTCATCACCTCCAAGGTGGTGAGGAAGCCCTACATGTACTTGGAGAAGGTCAA